GATCCCACGAGGAAGGTATTTGTAGGAGAAAATTAGAACTGGTTCGTATGTTGTGCGCGTGACAATTAGAAGTGATGATAGATATGATTGTGGAGAGATGGTGAGAAATGAGAATGATTGTGTGTAAAAAATGATATTGAGAGTGATAGATAAAGAATAAATGAAATCACAGGGAAAGAAAGGAAAAATGAAGGAAATAAAAATCAAGAAAATAAAACAAGAGGAAAAATAAAGAAAGAAAAGAATGAGGGTTCAATTAAAGATATAAGGAATCTAGAATTGAACCCACCTCAAAAGAAAAGGCAATTCCCTAGAGGGTTCTAGCATCAAGGCGAATCAAAGAATATGAAAATAAAGTAAAATAAAAACTAATCCCAAGAGGGTTCTAGCCTCAAGGTGAATAGTGCAGAAAAATAAAATCTAACTACAAAATAAATTACAAAAACTAAACTAAAAAATAAAATGCAAGAATTAAATACGAGAAAATAAATATACTCTATAAGCATAAAATAAATCTACTCTATAAGCATAAAATAAATCTAAGAAAAAAAGGGTTCTAGCCTCTTGGCTATTTAAGTAAGAAAATAAAAAGATAAAAATATTAACAAAGAGGAAATTTAAGGGTTCTAGCCTCTTGGCTATTTAAGTAAGAAAATAAAAAGATAAAAATATTAACAAAGAGGAAATTTACCACCCAAGAGGGTTCTAGCCTCAAGATGAAAGCAAACCTCACTCTTGATCTTCATCTTCATTCTATCTTCATCTTCATCATCAAACAAAGAGAAAAAAAGAAAAATATGAAGAGGTGAAAAAAATTCTTTTATTGATTATAACAAAAAGTTACAAAATTAGAAGGTCTTCTCAATTAAGAGTAACCCTCCTCTCCAAATAGAGTTACTAAATTTTTCACACCTCTAACCCCTCACTCTCTACCCTTATTTATAGTAAATATCAATGAATGTGAGCCATTAGATCAAACTTGGGCTCTAAGACAATAAAAATTAGCCATTGAAGCATTCTGTGCGTTCAGGTATCGATGCGAGCATCGATACCAGCATCGATGTAGGCATCGATGCCACCATCGATACCTACTGTTTCCAAAATCTGATTTCACATATGGCTTCGTCTCGTCGAGATAGACGACTTTTATATATTATATGTTAAATTCCGCCTTCCGGATTGAGAGATATCATCGTTTCTTTACTGCTAACCATCTTGAATACTTTTCCTTTCATATTGGATTTTTTTATTTTCTCTGGCTTCTACATGCTACTCAGCTTGATTCTAGGTTTAGGCTTTTTGGCTCTTGCTTGTGTTCTTTATTTAATTCATGAGATTTTATTGAGAGAAGAGATTTTGGGTTTTATTCTTGACTAACCTACAATTAAAGATAAAAACAATTATTAGTGGTATATTTATTCATTAAAAATAGATAATTAGGGTACAAAATTATAATAAAAATAGTATTATCAAGAAGAATGAGGGAAAAGATGATGAGAAGGGAGGGAGAGAGAAGTTTTTTTTTACAAAATTTTAAAACTTAAAGGGTTAAATTAGGAATATGAGAAATTTGAAGAGTATATATAAAACTCGCTTAATTTTCTTTCTTAAAAAATGCTTCTGGTGACCAGAAAGGTTTATTTGTCACTAATTTGTTATTTTTTAGGTTAAATTATCACTGGTGTCACTTTTTAGGCTAAAGTGGTAAAGAGGTGGTACTATTTAGGCCAATTTGGTATTCTAGTCAATGAATGAAAGATCTAGTTCTGAATATTTTATAAAGCAATTTAAGTTTTTTGAGTAAAATTAAGAATCTTTAGAAGAGATTTTCATAAACTTTTTTACTATTTTTATATGCTTATGTGGATGCTATATCATATAAAAACATACTAGAGTTAGCATTAATCTTTAGTTTATAATTTTTTTAAATCTATTAATGATTAGAAACAAACTTCATATTCTCTTTAATTTTGTTCTAGCCCACTTTTAATTAATCATCTTGGCTTATTAGCTTTAATTATTCATCTTCCTTTTATAGTGTTATTTTTTTCAAGTGTTTTGAACTTTCGCAACGCCATACTTTCTCAAGTCAAGCTTAGTTTCATGTCAATCTAAATAACATGAAAATTTAAATTGACTTTGGTTTACATTGGTTTTATGTCAATTCAATTATTAACATGAAAATTTAAATTCAATATAGGCTATAGCCTATTCAAATAAACATCAAAGAAAATAAATAATCACAATGTTAAATTTTAGAGACATAAGCGAGCAAAAACTATCAAAGTAGAACTGAAGAATAAATTTTAGTAAGAAAATAAATTAAATATAATTAGTCATGGTATTTGACCACATGCACTACAACTACATAAAAACTATATAACAATTACCCAAAATGTAAAAATTACTCATGTATTTCTTTATACACAACTTATTTATTAATGTAAAGATTTATTAATTATTCAACTTAAGAATTTCTATTATTACAAAAGTCACTTTATAGTTTTTCACTCAAAGAAAAAGAATTGAGGATGAAAAGTATGTCCATGTGCAAAGCACATGCATTATACTAGTTAAGAATTAAATATCATATGTGTGCCATATGGAATCATCCAGGTGAAATTTATCACATTTGCGTAATAGAAAGAATTAACTAATATGCTAATTCAAAATAATCTTAGATATTTCTCTTGAAAACAACGAATTTAAATTTGTGTGTCATATGGAATCATCCAAGTGAAATTTATCGCATTTGCATAATAGAAAGAATTAACTAATATGCTAATTCAAAATAATCTTAGATATTTCTCTTGAAAACAACGAATTTAAATTTGTGTGTCATACAAAGCTAGATCTAGGATAATTTGTGGGATAAAATTTTATAGTGATAGTCAACTAAAAATAAAACTAAAACAAAATTTTACACTGTCAGTCAACTAGAACTCTAACAAATCTAGAACAAGAATACTTGTACAAAATTATCCTACATTTTTATTTTTCTATACAAAAATGGTAGTTCTAGTTTCCCAAATTATCCCATGTTTTAGCTTGGAATTATGTGGTAAAAAACTAGAACTCCTATTTATTTTATTATTTATTATTATTTTTATATTTTTTTACTTCTTTCTTATTATAGTCATCACCATCATTAGATCATGCTGTCAGATTAGATCTCGTCTCCTCTTAGTCATCTCTGATATTTTCTTTTTTATCAAATATTATAATTATATAATTAATTTGAAGCAAACAATCCTAATTTATTAAACAATAAATATTAAGAGATGAGGGAAAGAGATTTTGGGGAATTGAAAAAGGAAGGAAAATGTGAAAAAAATTTAGACTTGTACTATAATAATAACTAAAAATAAAAAAATTACAACATAAATTATTATATTAATTGTTAATAATAATATTTTATAGTCTAACCAAAAGTTATTTAATAGTAAATAACATTCTTGTAAAACAATTATCAATTAATAATAGTAAGTTTAAAAATGTATAAATAGTATATATATTCTCAAAATCCATAAATATATACTTTATGATTATAAAAAATCATCTCACATTATTTTATGAAAATATCACACTTCACAAAATTATTCCTATTTATCCCACAAAAATATTCCACTAGGAAAAAATTATTCCACTTTAACAATTATACCATCTCGCACGAAAATGTCCCAATTGACTACCACGCCCTTAGATATTGTTCTTGAAAACAAATGAGAGCACTCACATGAATTTAAATTTGTGGAATACTCGAAGCAGTGCTCAGTGCATTGGTGGTGCCCCTTAGCCATGCCCGAAGGTTTGGCACCATGTTCCGAAGGATCCTGGGGAGGTTTCCTCAGCTAAACTAATAATAATAAGGAAAGTGAACGAAACCGTGAAGTATTTAAGTGCTATTTAGCCTAATTAACATTTACCCCCGTGAAACACACCCTAATCTCCTTACTGATTGTGGTCCTCGTCTTTATTTCCCATGGGCCTTTGTAAAATAGTGGATTTGCCCCGGGCGTCTGGGCCTTAATGTGGACAAAACCCAATCATCAAATTCAAACCTCAGACCTCGCCGAACTCTCAAATGGCAGCAGCCCGGCTTTTGTCAGCATCCCCCCCCTCCATCGCCGAGCCTCTCTCCTCGATCGTAGAATCCTTGCATTCCGCTCAAGCTCGAACCCTTCCGACTCCATCTTCCCCGGATGGCGATCTCCCAGCGATTCCCGCCTCCGCCGCCTCGCGGAGACCATCACCTTGCCCGCCGCGACACCGTCCAGATCGTCGCCGGCCCCGGCGTCTCCGGGTCCGATCTCAGGTCCTTTGGTTTTCTTTCTCCTCGTTTTGATTTAGCAATTTAACGTCTGAAGCGTAAACTTGCGTTGGAATTGTAAGTCTTGAATTGGACTGAATGGGGGCTGTTGTGGACCTCCAGGTTCTCGTCTGATGTGTGGCTGAGGTGGCGCACGTTCAGACCACCACGGCTCAGGTCGTCAACACACAAATATTGTAGCCTGATGATCTGGTAGCGAAATTTTTTTTGGAGAGTTTATCGGGATTAATGGGCCCCTTGGCTCTCTTGGCTTGTGTGTCCTTGAATGTGCACCTTCACAACTCAGATTGTCAACATACTCGGGTCATAGCCCGATGTTCCGTCTACATGTCACATCAGCAACACACTAGAGAAAGACACATGTAAGAGTAAATGAGGACTATTGTGTTCCTCCGTCGTCTTGGCTAGCGTGTTGCTGGCGTGATACACATTTGGACCTACACAACTTAGATCATAAACGTACCCATGTTCACAGCCAACGGCTAGATACGTGCCCTATTAGTGACACTAGCGAAGAACATGGAGGGACATGACGGTCCCTATTTACTCTGCCTTTATTGTGGATACCTCAAAGTCGCAAATGTGGTCAGCGTCTACCGCTATCAGCTTGTTGTTTGAGTCTTGGGTAATGGGTTGGGTGGGAAGCTCTTGTGCGGGATGGAACATAGGAGGTACACACTGGGGCTGCCTCCAACCAAACCCTCTAGTAAACCATGGAATGTGCCTCTTTCCTACCGTGGTTAATTCCTAATGGTAAGCTTACAGAAGATTTATCCATAATAAAGTTATAATAACTTGAACAATATGAAGAGGATTATAATGAGAGATGAATGAAGAGGTACAATTAGAGATAAAATGGAATTTTCGAGTTGAACTCAGCCTTTAAGCCTTCATAAGCTATTAACCTTTCTCCATGTGACTCTATTTTCCTTCTTGACCTCCCCTATCTCTATCAACCCTGTGGTCATCCATTTGTATTTTGTCAAGACCTGATAACGGTCAACTATTCTAAGTAAATTCTTCTTAATGATTAAAAGCAGTTGTCATATTTTACATGGTAATTTAGAATTTGCATGTTTTTTTTCTCAATATGTAATTAATCATTCAAGTTGGTGCGGTTAAGCTAAAGCTTCTTGCACCTAACATTCATAGAAAACTCACTTTTTTCTCCAAAGTTTCTTTGGATAGGAATTTGTCGGTTTCTTTGGCTAGTGGGTAGGTAAATGTACCTTTTGGGTCATGCAGCTCAAGCTCGGCAACCCCCAGAGCTCACCTAGACTAGGAAAGAAGTTTAGAATTTGTATGTTTTTTTAGAAGTAACCATGAGTATTATATGCCGACGTGGAAAAGGGCTGTCTCAACAACGAATCTCGATACCTGTTGCTATATACTTGTATTTCTTATACGCATCCACACACATGCATGCAAATACATACATGATTTAACTTAAAATTATATTTGATGGGTTGTTATTCATTCATAGTAAAATAATCAGTAAGAAAATTCGCTAATGAGGCCTAAAATACTTTCAGTTTCATATTATAATTTTGAGTCAAATGAAAGTTACGAAGTTGTGAACTTGTGAGTGATGGATAATATACAGCCATGAATATCATGTCCACATACGTGATGGACATTCCAAAATTTTGTTTGAAATGGTCCTATTTATCTATAGAGTTTAATTAGAAAACTTCTTGTTAACTATTTTAGACAACCATTGGTATCTTTCTTTAACCATCTCTAAGTTGTTTGCTTTAGTTGTTATTTGGCTGTTAAAAGTTATCTAATAATCAGAAATCCAGTGACTTGCATACACATCAAGTCAATTTATAGCCTTATAGGTCTTACAGCTTATATGTACATTACTATTATGATTGCTTTGACATTGTAATACCCTATGACAGGAATGCTATTGGTTCTACTCTGTTCAACCAATGGTTGCAAAATTTGCAGAGTGAAACAGGCCTTTTAGCTCAGGGAAAAATGTGTTTGAGGCAAGTACAAATTCAGGTAGCCTTCTGGTAAGCCTTCAGAGAAATCTTGATATCCTATTGGATGTTATAGCTTTAAGTTTTAAAAAGTTAATTGTAGATATGCCTAACTTGAAAAAGATATCTATCTCTTCATATTAAATGAGAATCATCATAATACAGCAGTTTTTTGCAAGTCACATGAAGCACGCATGTGGCTTGTAGATTCAGGCTAAATGGGCTTATATTATTGTTTTTTGCAGTTATAAAAAGCAAGCTATTCAACAGTTCTGGAATTTGTCTTTGTAGTGTTTAAGAAAAAACCCTGAAATTCTATAAGCTTCTAACACATAAAGAAACATATAACATGACCTATAAGTTCCTTTTGGCCAACTCATACCTGAGGTCGTACATGGAGCATTTGGTTCGTCTTTCTTCTTTCTATATATGACCTTCGAATGTAATGTGTTTCTTGTAAAGCTAAAGGTCCCTGTCTTCTCCAAGAATAGAAATAGGCTGCATGGTTTTTATTTTATTTAAGACAACAATTAGGGAAACATTTTCTGTTATTCTCTTGCTATGCTGCCTAGAAGTTAACTATGTAGAATTATCCCAGACAGTAGCACAAATTTTACACTTCTTTTTTATTCCATAATCATAAGCACAATCTTTGCCTCTAAATTCTCTTATGATAACATTGAATATAAGGAAAGAGATTCTCATTCTATTATATAAATGTGTATTACCAGAGAATAATTTAAATTTTCTTATAAATTTATGATCTATCAATTTTCACTTCTTAGAAGTCCTGACAGGCTGACATTGATAAATTTGATAAACAGGGAGTTGATATGTTTGGAAGACGTGTAGGATTTTTGAAGTTTAAAGCTGACATGCTTGAGAAGGAAACAGGGACAAAGGTATGATCAATCTTCAGCATGACTTGGAGTTATCATTTGCCACCTTTCCTCATAACACCCATATTGTCTGCCATTTTAGTTAAGCTAATATGATGTCAACCTGGATATCTAAATGCTTTTATGCTCTCCTGTGTTTTTGTCCAGAAATTTATATTGCATGGAAGCAACATGTTACAACTTTGTCCAACTTAATCTGTTTTGAAATATTGTAAATTTATCATGAGAATTCTGCACCATTACATTTAAGGACCTGTAATTTTACTTGTTTAATATTATAATTGAACGTCAGCTTAAAGTTGGTAAGAATGGTGGAAGATTTTTAATTCCTTATGCATTTTTATTCATCTTTATTTATTGATATTCAATTACAAGGGTTTTGACGTTTTCTAGGCCTAGAATTTTTTATTTTTTTCCTTCTAGAGCAGGAGGGGTTCTTTTGATGCTTGTAGATGCTCAGTGATATATTAGCATATGTTTCATACTATAGCCATTTATTAATTTTTGGTTTAATTGGACTTTAATGCCCTAGAGTTTCATCAGTTTTTAACTTTGATATCCTGTAGTCTTTTTTTTTTTGCCCCAAAAATGCCCCAAAGTTTTAACGATGGAGTTTAGTGTTAATTTAAAAAAGCAGGTAAGATGACATTAATACCCATTATCCTCTTCTTCCTCTTCATGTTTGTTCCGTTCTTTAAATCTTAATTGGATCTTGAGATCCCAAAATTCTCTCAAACAGCCAATCATTCATCAAACAAATCATCGAAAAGAGGAAATCTTTTTCGACTCCAATCCCATCAAAGTCTACAAAAGGGTGGAAAAACAAGACAGATCTCAAATTCTAACCATTTTCAATTGTTGGACAAAAAACAAAAACCCAATAACAAAATCTCAAAAACCTACATTTAAATCCCACTCCATTTTCACCCTAAACTTCAAAAAGCTTTCTCTTACATTACGAACAAGTGATGATCCACAAAAATTTTCACTATTTTAATGGGTTTAATGTTGTGAAGGAGGAAGAAAGGGATTCCTGGGGAAATTCTTTTTAGTCCTGGGGTATAGAATTCAAATGTTGTGTTTAAACAGAATTCTAGATAGCAATATAATGGAAGGTACCAAAGTTGAATAACTATGAACTTTGGGGGTACTTTTTGGGCAAAAAGTGCATTCATTGTATTAAAGCTAACAATCGATAAGCCTTTAGAGCATCAAGGTGCAATTAACCCTTAATTTTTTTAGTAACTTCATGTTTTTTTAGTAGCAGTTATATATTCATGCATTTTCCACATGTTTCACCTGCACTTGCTGCTGTCTTCTAGTTTTCATGTATTTACTTGTAAATGCAATTTCATTTAACTATTATATACTTCAGCATCAGTATTTTACTAAATTATCCCCACTTTGTGTATGTGCCTTGTTATATTGTATAGTTACCAGGTATTGTATTTGCAAGGGGTCCAGCTGTTGCTGTGCTGATTTTTTTGGAGTCTGGAGGAGAGACTTATGTAGTTCTCACAGAACAGGTATCATGTTTATGTGCTGAGGTGAAATATTTGTTAACACCTTCAATAAGCATCTTGACATGCTTGGACTGTTCATATAAAGTAATTAACATTCCTTCATTTTCTTGTAGGAAGGATATTAAATTCTTTTTATATATATTACTGTTGTATTTTTCCTCTATGTACCAAATGGGACTTGATTAAATAACATCGAAATAGTCCTATGTTGTTTTCTCACTATAGTTGATTTGATGTCGTATTTGGAATGCTTAGTGGTATATCTGACCTAATTTCTCTTACAAAAGGCAAGGGTTCCTGTTGGCAAATCAATTCTGGAATTACCAGCTGGCATGCTGGATGATGAAAGAGGTGATATAGTTGGAACTGCAGTTCGTGAGGTAATCTCCTATAATTTTCTTAAAAAAATTTTGTTCATGCCTTTCAAAGTCTTCTATTTGAACACTTGAAGGCATCACAAGGATAGGTGAATCAGCCTATACATAAGCATGCAACTTACTGAAAGGCCAGAAATGATAAGACTGCTGCAGTAACGCTGAAACTGGTTCAGTCAACCCATGCACAATTATTTAAAATTATTGTTATGTTAACTTTGAAACTGATGCAACCAGCCCAATGTATCAGCATCATTATATTCACTACTTGAAAAAATAAGATTTGATATGCAAAATATGGCCAAACGGTACTTAATTGTCGTCTACATTGTTCCAGGACATTTTGAGTTAGTTCATTTACAGCTGAGTCAAATCACAAGTTCAACGTAATTGATATTCATGTCATGTTCTGTACACTTTATGTAATTTACATTTCTAATGATAACCCACCATGCTTATTCTCAACTACTGGAACAGATACTTAAACTGCTTAATATATCTTTGCTGCAAGATTTGGAATATTCTCCGAAACAAATTGGAAATCCTGGTGGTAGTGTCATCATCATCATCATTATTATATATAAAATGCTGTTTAAAAACAAAGTGACAGTCATAGCGAAAATAGTGCTTTTAAACTCCAAGACTCTACCCAAAATCCCTGAGTGGCACACCTGATTATATTATTAAACTATTCTATTGATATATATAAGAGTAAAGCTCTTGTGAACTTAATTGGATAGGAGCTTCTTGTCCATCAACTTTTATAGCCTTTGATTTTCAATTGGGATTTTCTGTTGTTGTAGTATTTTGGTTTGGGATTTGTGCTAGCATGTGATAGTAGTGATACAAATCAACGCACAGATCTCAAAGATAGCCTTGATGTGTAGCACCAATCTCAAAGAAAAATCAAAGGTTCAAAAAATTGGTGGACAAGAGCTCCTATCTACTTAAATTACAAGAGCTTCACTCAAGTAAAGCTCTTGTAAACTTAAATGGATAGGAGCTTTTGTCTACCAACTGTTATGGCCTTTGATATTGCTTTGAGATTTGTCCTAGCATGTGATACAAATCAATGCACACATATCAAAGATAGCCTTGATGTGTAGCACGAATCTCAAAGCAAAATCAAAGGCTAAAAAAATTGGTGGACGAGAGCTCCCATCAACTTAAGTTTACAAGAGCTTTACTCTATATGAATGAGTAAAACTCTTGTAAACTTAAGTATATAAGAGCATGTTGTCCACCAACTTTTATAGCCTTCGGTTTTGCTTTGAAGAGTTGAACCTGACATGACAGTTTGTTTCCACGAATGGTTTGTTTACTATTCTGATCTCAGCTTAAGGGCAGCTATTTGCATATGAATTATGATGGCCACATATAAGCTGTTTCCTAGGAGAGTTGCACCGTTATTTAATTTACTATCCTTATTATTTCTGATTATATCACGATAGATAATTATACTGTTGTTTCCGTTTGATAGAGAGTGATCCATGATTCTTTGTGGATTTAACAGGCCTGAGTCATATAAATTCTTCATCTTGTTTTCTTCTTTCTCATCTGCAGTATCGGTGGTTAATAATACTACGCTACTTGTGAAAACAAAGCCATAAGAGTTGAATACCTGCTTGCAGGGTTGTCAGTACTGTCCTGTGCTGAAAATTGCAATCCAGTTACCACCAACCCGAACTGTTCGCTTTTGTGCATAATTTGATATGGGTTTGAAATCTTTACCTAAACAATTTTTTGATTGAATAAGCACTTAGAAGTTTGTCCTATCTGACCCTAAGTTGATATGAATCTGAGGAAACTGAACCTTACATTGGTTTTGTCCGTCCCTGACATGACCTAGATCTGCATATGCATTCAATGATCTAGAAATATACGCATACTGGAAAAACAGAAGCTCAATTAGAATATATCTTAATTACCTCCCAAAATATGTATGATTTACTTGGTAATGACAACTATATTTGTTTTATAGTTATGTTGGGATGATTGACATTGAATCTGCATTTTGATCTAATCTTCAAATGATACATTGATAAATAGTTTTTGCTATGATGCAAACCTTCACCCTTAGTTTAAATAAAAGGAAATAATTTATGCACAAAAAAAGGAAAATAAAATAGGTGTGGTGCTTAAGCAAAGCATTGATGATATTTCAAAGTATTACATTTTACACGTGTTTAATGTTGATCCAAGTAAACTTATCTCGTTATTGATACCTGATTAAAACTAAACAGCAACTAGATCTGACCAATTTTTGGTCCGAACTAATGAGGGTATTTGTTATTATTTTGTACAGTTAATCTAGGAATCTTGTGGATATTGTGAAACCAGTCAAACTGGACAAAAATCTCGGAGGCCTATACCTTATGGTTGTGGATAGGATTAAGGTTGATGTTTTAGACCTGGTACATATTGTAGATTGGGTACAAATATGGGAAACCTAAACTCCATAACATGTCTAGGTCTTATCTGCACTAAGTTTAGTGCAGAATGACATTACTTATCCTTTTTGTTGAATTGAATGTCAATAATTGATGATATCTTTGCATGGGCAGCCCACATGTAGCTGTGGCAAAAATGTTTGATGGCTATGGTTGTGGTTCTGATGATATTCCTTCATATAATATTTATTTCAAGATACTGATTTCTGAAAGAACTCTTTGCATTTTGTCTTAAAAAATGAATATGACTTGAGACTGATTTTGTTGATTAGTTTGCACAGAAATTTAATGATATATGACTGGATGATATGTGATAATTATGGCAGGTTGAAGAAGAGATTGGTATCACCTTAAATGCAGATGCTATGGTCAACCTTACAGCACTTCTTGACCCAGCAACGGGACAAAAAGTTTTTCCATCACCGGTAAATCATAGGCTGTAGTTTACTACTGTTAGCTAATAGCCTAAACATTTGATTGAATATTAAGCACTAGAAGTAGACCATCAACTTTGGTACGCATTCAGTACAAACTCAGTCCTTTAATGTACAAAAACCTTTTCTTCCTATGCTCCTCGAACTTTTGATTACTGTCATATGAAAATTTTAATTACTATAGGAGAGAGATTAGAGATTGTAGGATAAAAATATCAAAAGGCTTTCCATGGAGAATACGGAATGTTATTTCTTAAGCATCCTCACAGAAATTTTGATTGTTTGAAGTCAATGCTCTGCACATTTTAGTTCTCTCTCTTCCTTTCTGGTTTTTGGTACTTGCCTCTTGATATTTTTCTGTTTATAATCTATCTAGATCTATGTCTATCTATGCTACTTATAAAAGAGGATTGGTGTATCAAAACTTTTGATCGCCCCTTTTGCCCTTTCAAATTTTGTTAATCTCAATTATTCCAACTATCTCTCGCCCCTTTTGCCCTTTCAAATTTTGTTAATCTCAATTATTCCAACTATCTTTAATTAATATTATAGCTTATCGTAATAATGAGATTTAATAATTAGACTCTTAAGATTCCATAACTTGTATAATTGAATGGATGAGTTAAGAACCAAATTTACTAATCAGCTACTCTTTCATTTTCCCTCTACGTAACCTCTCTTCCATCTCTGTACTATAAATTTACATACTCATTCTCTTCAACCTACCACATCACCGACAAAGCCAAATTCCTAAAATCACACAATTGAAGCTCAACCCAAAACTCTTTTGCATCAGGACGGGAAAGTTAGCAGAACAGTGGCTATTGTCTTCGTTCAGTGATCGATTTTGCCCAAAATCGTGTCAGAACTAGCCTGTTCATCTACAACTCAATTAGAACTTTGAGTCAATTTTGTTGCGGTTTTGATTATTATACTGAAAGTTGAAGTTAGATACTTGCTAAGAGTTTATATATATTAGATATCTCATGCTACAATTTCCATATTGTTTATTAGTTCTATAATATTATGGCATTTATGTCAACATTATACTTCAGATTCATTTTCACTCTCACATTTATTACGTTTAATTTTTTTCTTTGAAAATTTGAACAAGGATTTGATACCAATCTGTAGAGCTTTAATGAGTTTGAAATTTTTGGTGAATAATTACTCATTGAACTTTTTTGACACCCCCATCATGATCCTCTATGTATTTTAATAGGATAGTCTAGCCTGATGATGACATTTTATTGAGTAGTGCTACATAATTGAGCTTTCTAACAGAAATCTACCTAAAATTTAAAAGCAATATGGTTAACCTAAGGACATGAGACGCGTTGGCACCACTTTGCATGCCGTTGAGCATCAACTGCAATTATATATTTCATTTTAAGATCAAAATATATTATTAATAAAAATATATAGATATATTATTGAAAAGTTTAAATAAAAGTATTATCTAATCATTGTATTAAAAATCAGTATGTGAAAATATAATTAGAAATATCAAGTGTTTAGGGAATAATGATGATTACAATTATATATCTATGTAAACTTTTCTTTTCCATCATTAAAAACCTAAATTAAGTTAAACATAAATTATTTTAACATATTTTTATCATTGAAAGCTTATTTGAATATTTTACTTTAAATCTTTATTTCTTTTTCCTTTAAATCACTTCAGCATTTGTTTAAAGACTAGCTGCTCTCCTTTTCTTTTTTCTTTTGTCTTTTTCTATGTATTTGATAAATAAGCTCTGCTCAGCTTAGATTTCTTCCCTGCTGCATTCTCTGTATCCATATATTCTAGAAATTTGTCCTTGGAGAATTTATTGGTTTTTTCCGATACTAGTTCTTAAATCTTGAATACTTTGAAATTAGTCCCTCAAATCATTAAAATTGTTATTAATCCCCCTATTCTTATATCTTGATTGGAGGGATTAATTTGAAACAACTTATAAGAATTGGGGATCTAACTGCAATTTTATTGATTTGCGGAACTAATTTTGAAACAACTTATAAGAATTGATGGACCTAACAGAAAATTCAATGATTTGAGGAACTAATTTCAAAACATTCAAGATTCAAGGGGCTGATACTGAAAAAATCCTAAAATTATTTTTCCTCATTCTGGTAGGGTTCCTTGTAGGGAGAGAATTTTTGGTCGTTCTCATCAAATTGATTATCTATTCGCATCCTATACCCGTGGTTAACCCCGGATAATCTAATGGATCTATCATCTGCTTGCCATAGGAAGAGTGAAGATAAATTTGAGTAGGTGCACTCTTTCTTTAAGTATTTAATCATAAAAAGCAGGGTAAATTTCATGAAACCCCCAGCACTTCCAGGCGGGGTTATGGAAATTTACCCAACAAATTAAGCAAAAATCCTAGAAATGCCAGGATTATAGTCGTCTTTAATCTTGGGAAGCATGCTTATTAGTATTGATCAACAATATAAATCTGCTCATGTTTTTTCGGTTCAGGGTGGGTGTGATGAAGAGCTGAGCTTGTTCCTCTACCGCAGTCCCGTCAAGGAGGAGGTTATACGTGCATTGCATGGAAAGGAGATGGGACTTCGTGACCACGGTGAACTAATTAAGGTACGTGTTATTCCCTATGATAAGCTTTGGCATGTTACTGCCGATATGAAAGCTCTTTCTGCCATTGCACTATATGAAATGGCCAAAAGAGATGGTCTTTTGCCTGAGAGAAACTCACATCTTTCTACCTGAATCTACCTTTTCCCCCTTCCCTCTTTGAGTAAAAGTTGCACCTTTGTACTAGAATTGCTCTATTGTCGTTGTGTGAATGAAAAACCATTTGCTTTTACTTCGTGGTCTACCGTATGTTGTAGAGAGTATACATAGAAAATCATTATTTTTTAGTAGAAAATGAGAGCAAAATATGTAGTAAAATGGGGAAAAAGAGAGAATTAAGACATTGTAGCGTGAATGGAATAATAAGTGTTTGAGAGAAAAATGGAATAACAATTATCATGGGAATTTCTGAATTTGCCTAGACTAGCAATCAATGTCATGGAGTTCACCTTTTTTTCTAGCATGAAAATAGCTACTTGTTTATACGTTGTGCTAGTTACTTGTCCTTTTATGTAGCTATTGTATCGTTGCTTATTTTATTGATGACTTCGATAGCATGCTGCAAATTTTACAGCACTCTTCTTTTAGACTGTTTGGTATTTGGAGGCTTGCTCCTTAGTTGTAGAGACCTAAATTGATCATCAATAAGATAGAGTTTATCCCTTTAAGTTAGATCTCTGTCATTATCCACTTATCTTTTCGAGAAGGACATAAACTTGGTTAGGTTGCTAGAGAGAGAGAAATACCAACAACAAAAACAAAACCTTTATCCTAAATATTTGGTGAAATTTGTGGAGGGATGATTCAAGAAAAAACTGAGGTATGAAATACACTAGCATATTTTTCTTTATTCCTCCATTAAGGTGGCTGGGTTATTATACGAGTAAAGCACATATTTATTTGGTTTTTGAAAGCTTTAAGTGATTTTTGTTGTGCATAACCTGTAAGAAATTTCTAATTTAGCCCCTAGGATCATGATATATGCATATTATTTGCTTATTTCTTTCCAATTAAGTGAGAGGCATTTGATGAATCTATGTGAAAAGAGTTGAGGGTCCATAGCATCAATATATACATGCAATAGTGGAAGTAGCGGACTCTTCAGCTTGTATCTTGTTAATCATCTAAATTGGCTTAAAGTTTCACATTCCTTTACAATGAAAATGTCTCTTTTTTTTTGGAAATTTGTTTTTCTGTTAATTTGTTAATAAAGACAAATTGGTTACATCAGGCATTTATCCTGTAGTTACATGATGGCAGGTTGAATATAATTATTAATTGGCCTATTCTATTATATAAAAAAAGGGGACAGTTTACTTGGGAGAACAGTTGACTTCTAACTTACTTTATATGGCATTTGCATTGATTTGTATCACTTGTGTATATGAACTCCCGCATTAGTTTCACTTTACATGTACTGATTACAAGAATGGTTTCCTTTTCCAGAGAACTGATTACATGAATGATTAACCTAGTTTTTATATTATATGTTGTCCTGTTTATTTAATCAAATTGGAAAAATCAGATAATTTATCGTTTTTGGTCGACGGCTTTAATATCTGTTTAAAGGACACCTATTATGCTGATATTACAGAGCGAGCTCGTTATACATCTGATAGCACCTATTGTAATCACTATTGGTGTAGGGAGGTGGTTGGGGGGGGGAGGGGGGATCCTAAGGCAAGTGGTTTATGTTTGATTGGAATATTCCAGTGATATAAAGCTAATTTAATGTTATTACATACCGTTAAAAGCAATTTGGTGAAAATACGGTACTCATGTGCTGGTGCTAAAGTTTACGGTTTTTTTTTTTTTTGCGTGTTTGAACCGAATAATGTAGTTCGAAAACTCAATTGTTCTTTAACATATGCCTTTTTCGAGACAGCTTCCACTCATCTTACTTACGGTCTTACCGTTCAAATTTATACAATTCACTATAGAAAAGCTTTTTTTTTATTAATATTTGATATTTCCCCCTAACCCGCTCATCAACTACAGCCCTACAAGTAATGGTCCCAGGCCATTTAGCGACGCAAGTCTATTGAAAAAACAAACGGCAGAATGGACATTCTACCTCTTTGTCCCACCGCAATTGCAAGTGTTAACGTTGACGCTCTCTTTATTTTACTATCTCTACACCCACTTTTTCGTGCTAAATCTTTGCTAGTGTTGTTAAGATCAATGTTAACTGTATGATAAATCTTGTTCCAATCTGATACTAATAGCAGTATGTAATGAACCGGGACCACTGGATACTTTTTTTTAAGTAGAGGAGACCCGATCGACAACTCACGATGAAGGTTTTGCATGTTTGAACCTTGTGGTATTCAGGATAGTACAAGGTCTGTAGTATAAGCAATACTATATTAAAAGAGATGATTAAATCTTATATATTGGCCGTGCAAATTTCAGATTATTATTACTCTAATTTTTCATAGGTTAGAAAGAGGATGCAAGCACAAGAAGGAATCCTCTCTCTGTTCCCAGGAAAATGCAGTTGAGGCCGGAATAAGTGCAACTGTCCTCCAACAAACCTTGACAAAGAGTCTGATTGGTTGATGGAAAAGCTACTACTAAAATGTGTTAGCTTTAGTCCCCATTATTGTTAGCCCCCCCACTTGGTGCTTCCCTTTTCCACAAAGGGATCAAAGTGCAGCCCCACTGCTGATAGCAACGGCAATCCCCTTGATTCCACAATCTTGATCCTTACTCTTTTAGCTCCGATGATTGCCTTCGGCAGTCGGTCTTGTACCCGATCGTCGTTCCGTTGGCAGCCATCTTTCCGTCAGCGTAAATCTCGTGTCTCTGCACTCTCTGCCCCATACCGATCGCCTCTTGTAATCTCACCACGTTGAAAGTCATGCTCTGGTTCATGGCTGTCAGCTCGATCCAGCAGCCTCCTTTCTGGTATTCGTCTTCCGGGGCCCAGTATGAATCCTGGTTATCGTCTAATATGTTCCCCGCTGCGAATCCCCCGTTTTTGCCTCCCCTCTGACTGTTAGCTTTTACAGTGCTTCCTTTAGCCAGATCGACCGAGAAGATTGTATCGATTGCTGAGCGAAATTCTTTTAGCCGATCTACATCCGCATCCGATAGGAGACCTGTGCTGTTTGGCGGTATGTTGAGTAGAAGAACGCAGTTACGTCCGACGGAACTGTAGTATATATCTAACAATTGGCTCAAGGGTTTTGGTGTCTGAGATTTATGCCAGAACCATCCTGTACGGATTGAGACATCACACTCTGCTGGTACCCAATCGACTCCTCTCCGATCTCCGGTATTCAAATACCTGGAATTTAGCTTTTAGCATCTGAAACCTCGCTGCTTGAAATTAAAACTATAATGGCATACTTACTCGACTTCATCGGTTCCGATGGTTACCAACGTCCGGTTGATCGTCGACCAGCAAGTCGTTCCGGCAGCCCCGCCCTCATCTCCGACCCACCGGATGTCAGGACCGGCATCCGAGAATATGTTTATATCCTGCTGCAACTCCTTCACCATTGAAAACCATTCCTCGAAGTGGTAGGTCATGTTCTTTGCATTCTTCCCTTTTGCCCCATCAAACCAAATCTCATGCGCACTCCCATACCTAAAACCACGACGTAGTGAGAACAAACATTTTACAGATAGATGATGTAAGCAACGCTCACCTAGTGAGGAGTTCTTGTAGTTGTGCCAAGTAATGCTCATTGTACTCGATCTCAAGCCCGTAGGTCTTCTCATGTCGATCCCAAGGGGAGAGATACAGCCCCAAATCGATCCCTCTCGCTTTTGCAGCACCGGCGAGCTCTCGAACGACATCACCCTTCCCGTTCTTCCACGGGCTGCTCGCCACAGAGTGGTCCGTGTACGCTGACGGCCACAGGCAGAACCCGTCGTGGTGCTTGGCAGTAAGTATGACGAGAGAGAACCCTGCGTCTGCAGCCACCTCTACCCACTGTGTCGCGTTGAGCCCCGTGGGGTTGAAGATGGCCGGAGACTCGTTCCCCGTTCCCCATTCGGAGTCGGTGAAGGTGTTGACGCCGAAGTGGAAGAACATTATCAGTTCCCGCCG